GGGGGGGGGGGGGGGGGGGGGCTCAATTATGTTCCTATCTAGAAAAGGGGGGCCCTGCAGAGAAAGTTTGGGAACCACTGCGTTAATGGAACATTATTTCTGTGTTATACATTTTAACAAAGGTTCTGTCAATGTCAGCACAGTAAAAGGATGTTCAGGTAATGTTAATGCAGTTTGTGTTGACAAATATAGTTTTATAATAAAATATAATTTTATGAAAGAGCTATATGTGTATACTGGCAACGAACCAATCAGCCTGTAAGCCATGACCTTTGACCTGTAAAGCGACAGCGTTACCTGCTGCCCTACCACACCCTTCGTTCACTGTTATATTATTAGTCTTGGTTGCAGTTGTATAACATTCTCGGAACATTAGGAAAACTATACACTTTGAAAGTTTCCATACCTTGACCGTGACGGTAAGTATTTAGAACGAAAAATTCTTAGTGGGGACATACTTGCTAATTAAGTTAATGCTTTATTTTCTATGTTTTCTTCAGTTCTTCCTGAAATCTACAGGTGAAACAGTGACGCATCCTGAAGGAACCGTAACAAGCAGATATTCAAGGGAAAGGACCACAGTTATCCTTTAACAGACAGATGAAAGAGAGAGAAGCGAGAGAACAAACGAGAAGGGCGGCATTTTCAGCGACAGACAGCACGGCTGCCTTTTTGCCCTCTGCAGAGCTGCAGTAAATAATAACGTATAAGATGGTTACGTGCCAAACAGTCCCAGTGAGGCACGAACTCTCGAGCTGCTCCCATTATAATATGCGCCTGGTTTGTGGCGGCCGACCAACGCCACAGAACTCAATACGATATCGTGCCTAAACAGGCACTTAATCAGCCAAAACATGCTGCTCCAGAAGGTGTCAGGAGGAAAATGCACTTTAGCAGAGAGACAGAGGGAAGCCCGCCTTCCTCACCTGAAGAGGTGTTCCCCGTCCCCTTGGCTCAGACATACAGTATAACACGCATGGTAAGCTACAAGCATGCGGAGAGGCATCGCGTTCATCTAGAAATCGTCAGAATGCAACCCCAGATTTTCATTCATACAAAACTGAACTGCAGAAAACCAGGGCTGCTAACTCATCTCTCTCTTCACCTAGAGTTTTTTTACTGTCTAAATGTGTGTTTTGTTACTGTAAACCTGCAATCTGATCTATCTATCCATCCATCCATCCATCCATCATTAATGCATTTAATTTCGCACCAATATCCACAACTGCATAAGCTGTTGGAAGATTAACGAGCGGATAGACCTTTGTTTTCATAGTGCATTTATTACAATATACTGAATAATTGCACGCATGCGCGCTAACGGACTTCACAAAGTCGGGACCAAGGGGGCGTTTGCTGTTTTTGTCTTCTTGGCAGTACGCCAGGTCCAGTCTGACGTCAAGCCAAGAGGTGCTCTCTCTTGCCCAGTGTTAAACAAGCTGAATGTCATTTAAAAGCCAAGCACTTCAGCTGGCCAGGTCCTCCATTTAGAAGGTCAACTCGACCTCCACAGAGTCTACAGGAGCAGGACGCGATTCATCTCCGGATCCTTTATTTAACAAGAACACTGAGAGGAGAGGGCACCACGGAGAATGAACTACAAGTATATATCCAGACTAAAGGTTCTGCACACCTAGAACAAGAACAAGAAATGGTCTTGGCAGCGTTTTGAGCAACATGCCAAAGGGCTTCATGGAAGGAGAGGCATTCATTCCGTTTGTGTTGACAGATTCCAAACTTCTTCCTTTGTACTGTGCTGTGCTGTAAGTTCGCTAATATAATATCAAGCAGTATTTCCCAATCTGGTCTTTGGGGACACTCAGACAGTCCATGCTTGTGCTCCCTTCCAGATCCCAGTATGGAGCGAAAAATGTGCACTGTATGGCAGGGGTCTGGGAGGGAGCAAAAATGTGGACCGTCCATGGGTGCCCGAGGACCGGGTTGGGAAACACTAGTATAGAAGCAATGCAAGGAAAAGTACCATACTGACTAGGGAATGGAGAGGTTTTAGGATGGCAATGTCAAGCTAAGTCTTCGCGTCCATAGACGTCTAAAACACGCCGCAAGGATTCCATGATTCCGGGAGAGCCGAGGGCATCGGCCATCTCGGAAAAGCGGCCCCTGAAGTCCGTCACCCTTCCCGCTGACCGCGGGTAGCCTTGAGATGAAAAGGACGTGGCTGACATCACACGGGTGTCACGTTACAGCCACCGGTAAGTTTCACCCTGATCGGCTGGGGAGCAGCTGGAGGTACAAGCGTCCAGATAAAAATAAGAAAACAAACATGTACGGATGGCCGCCCCAACATGGCGTCCATGGAGGCCCCGCAGCATCCCGCCTGGACTCAAACGACCACAGGACCGGGGTCAGATCCTGCCCTGATGGGGACCTGAGGTGTCCATGAAGCACTGGACATATTTCAGTCCATTCATGCTCCTTGACTGGTCTGGTGCTAAGATGTTCCCCGTTAGCCTAAACCACTCAGATGGAGAATTACCTGGTTATACCACAACCTAAACCAAACTTAGTAGGATAATTAACTGCAACTGTAAGCCTGAGGGCCCCCGCATATTTAACTATTATAATATAATAAACCTTTTGACAAATCTTGGGACATGAGCCAAATGCACTGTATTACTTGTCACAATGTCACACGTGACATTGCATCACCTGTCACCGAATCCAGGGACTCTTATAAGCCGGTTTCAATGAACCTCCATCATATGGTTCAGCTTCTGACACACTGGGCTGTACAGCTGGGTGTACCGACAACTCTTCGTTAATGCATGAAAACTCCATATTAAAACATATGAGAATATTCCATCCCAGCCTCTGCTGCTTAATGGGGTTTTAGGGCAGGTTGGCTGGGGAAATAACGACAGGAAGTGTGGTGAAGTGACAGAAATGTGACCCAGAGCTTTGACGTCCCACTTAAACTTAAAAAACATTAAGAAACATCACAAAAACAGCACTTTCACTTTCATTTTCAGAGCGACTACATATTATAGGTCTCAGTATGGCAGTGCAGTGGCTAGTACTGTTACCTCACAGGTTGGGAAGCTTGTGGTGGTCGTCCAGGAACCTCCCACAGTTCAAGGGCATGCAAGTTAAGATAAACAGCACTTCTAAATTCCCCATAGTTTGCGGCTGTCTGCATTTATGTGTCTTACGATAGACTGGCACCCTGTACCCTATCTTATATCCTGTAGACCCTTTGGCTGCCTGGGTTAAACTCCACACAAGCACCTTGGATGGATGGATGGATGGATGGATGGATGGATAATGTACGAGTGTCTGGTTTACATCTAGATCATCTGTCTTTATGCAGAGTATTAAAAGGACCAGACTGAGAGCCAAACTCCTTTGCGTGACTGGCTAGTCTGCTAGGAACCATGCTGGATGATTGTACCTGATTTGATATTTGAGATGTAAAACAGAGAGATGCTTTTTTCAGGCTCCAAATTTACAAGACTTCTCATTGTTAACACATCACTCATAACACCAGTTTCCTAGTTACATTCCTAATAATTTGACTATACCATTTGTTTGCATATTCAAAGTATGCCATAGGAACAGAATGCTAATAGAATAACCTTCTGATGACTTGTTTTCAAACAATGCTTTTCCAGTTGGAGCTACTGTAGTTTGGAGATGGCCCTTAAAATATATAGCAAAGCAAGCATGAACAAGGATATGAAAGCATGGTTATCAGTAAACGTATCTTTATGCTTATTGGGCGAAAGATACTTGGGAGCATAGAGCTTTATTTTTATTTTTTTAAATAGCCAATACTTCTCATACGTTTAAAGCATAAAATTGTATATCATATATGTGTAGAGGGCTCACCACAATACTACCTGAGTATCAATCTTATTTCAGTAGCATACATTTCTTACAAATTGTTTTTGTGTATCATCCATGGGCTAATAACGCACATATGCAATGATTCTTTCGTTTTCTAAGTGTGTATTAAAATGTTACTTTCACACAGTGGGTGATGGCCCCAGGACCAGCCATTTGGCAATTTGAATCATGAGTTGTCAGCTGTGCACAGTCTAATGTGGTGCTTATTTGAAGGGGGGGGGGGCGTACAGGGATGAGTGTTTGCTTAGAAACTAAATAAATGCAAACAAGGGGAAAAAATGAGTAGGGAGCAGTCACGATTATAGTCAATGGCAAAAAGCGAACCGCACACAGCCTTATTAATGTTGTAAAGACTTCCAAACACTATAATTGTTCTCATGATCATAATCGGTAATATCTTTACCCTTAGTTATACTGCATTTATGACTGGTCCGAGACTTGTGTATTACTGAGGAATATTAAGTTAAACACCGACCCAGCACCTTGCTCCAGCAGCACCTTCGGTGACGTGAAATAATAACCGCCGGCGGGAGGTGGCGCAGTGGTTAAGACTCAAAGTCCTTAAAAACCGTTAGCAAACATCCAGCAACCGACAGGTGTAACCTGTTCAAGACGCTTTGTGTAACGCCTGTCTAGTGAGATGAAACCCAAGCACTGCATGACAATATTAAGAAATCATAACCTACGGTGGAAATGCATGTTATTACTGCACAATTACGTAACACTACGGAGTGCTTGTACCACCTCTGCAGTAGCGGCATGATTGCCTACCCAAAAGTACATTTAATGAAGGATCAATTACATATTCCCCGTTTTTCCGTATTCCCCGTAGTTCCCGCAGACACCAAGACAGTCCTTTGGTAAATGGTGACAGATCTGCCGTCTGAAATCCAGATACTGGTGCTCCAACCCACCCACTACCTTCCAGATGAAAGGACCCAGCATAAATACACTTCGTAATTTTTGTCAGCGTCCGGTACTTACTAAGCTGTCCGGCAGGACCGAGTACTGGCTCTTTGCAAGCCGGCGGAGTGCCACTCTGCCTCTCGAAGTTGCCCGGGTTGGAGAAGTAATCTCGCAGCCGGGGGAGCTCCCTGCCCGCTTCCAGCAGCTCCGTGTGCAGTTCCAGGGCCGTCAGGATGTACTGATCCCGCAGCAGCTGAGCCGCTATCGCATCCACAGACAGCCGAGGCTCCCCGCTCCCTCCCGCAGACACAGCCGCAGCAGCAGCACCCGGGACAGAAACACTTTCCACCCCGGGGCTCGTCCTACTGCTGGATAGGAGCGACGCCCCTGGCTCTGAATCCGTGTGCGGGGAAAGGGCTCCGATGCCCAGGCCCGGTGCGACGTCGCCCGGGCTGCGTCGTTTGTCGGGCCCATCCGTCCTCCGCTCAGCCTCCTCGTCGGAGTCACTGAGAAAAGGGTTGACGCTGCCCGCCGCCATCTTCCTACGCTGAGAAACACGGCAAACCAGCCGCCTAGCCCGCTAATGGTATTTCCTAAGGGCTTCCTGAACGGTGGCTACCTCCGCTAGTTCGGCGAGAAGGAGAGATCTGATTGGGGCAGGGCGCAACTCCGCCTCCATGAAACGCCCACTGCCCCATCACGGAGGCATGGGAATGGATAAGGACAAGCCACAACGCATGAAATGGGCGGGGCAAATTGACAGCTCCTCTCTGAATGCTAACACGGGGAAAAAGACCGGGGATACTACCTTTATCAATTTTTAAATACCGTTATATGTAACAAACATTTTATTATCCTTATTGCACGTTAAAATATTTTTCTAAATATATTTTTCAAATCTAATGTTTACTTGCTACTCGTGAACTTGAATATATTGGTATACATTACGGGAATTTTAATTGATATATAGGCAGCTCTTGCTGTATACGATGTGAATAATAAAGTGCTCCTCATACATGCAGTTCAAGACTAAATGCCAAGCGAACGCATCGGATGTTGTACACAGTAGAACTACAATTCCCATGGTTCATTACAACTGCAGTTCAAAGGTCAAGGAATAGGGAAGTTGACGGTTAACCTGCTATGAGTTATCAATGGTAGGATTAATCGTTTCTCCAAAAAAAAAAAAACTGTATTTGTTCAAATTGTGTTTTAATTGCTTTTTGATCGGATTATTAGTCTTCTGACAGTTAAATGTGAATTAACTACGCGGGCAGCGAAATTTCATTCATTCTCCAGTGAGTATTGTTACCAGTGACAAGCTACTGTCTGGAGTTAGCAGACCGCTTAAGTTTGAAAGGAGGCACCGCACATCTCTGAACAGGTAAGCCTTTTATTCTTTTCATAGCATCTGAATCGTTTATTCTAGGATCACCGCAAACCACACCATTGGACAGCCGTATTTTATACATGTTATACAACTTTCAGGAAATTGTCCTTATTGCATGTGCTTAAGACATATTGCATTTATTGCCTTTGTGATTGATGTTTTTGGTGTGATTTCTTCTTTTTCGGCCATCGTGTTAACGATCTTATTTGTTCTTCTAATAAGATCAGAGACTTACGCAGACTGACAGTTGTGCTTTATAATGAGTTGTACCTATCTACATATATGTGCACGTTTCTTCCCAGGAACTGTCGCTGCCATGAACGTGAGAGCATTTTTCATTCTGGGGCTCGTTGTCCACGTCGTATTCTTCATCTCTATATTTGATATATACTTTACATCTCCTCTGGTCCATGGGATGACCCCGCAACACGTTCCCCTTCCTGCTCCTGCCAAGCGCCTTGTGCTGTTTGTGGCGGACGGTCTGAAAGCAGACACCCTGTTTAAGACCGATGACACCAAAATAGACAAGGCACCTTTTATACGGTATTGGGACTCTTTGCTTTTTGCTGTGTAATGAAAGATCATTTCCAGCCCGATTCATAATACTTTAATAGTTTTCCCTCTCTCTGTACAGAAATCCCAGTATTTTTTTTTGATGTACTTCTTTTATTATTCTTGTGGCTTTAAGTACTTTTTTATATGAATTTTGACTTCAGCTAAATTACTCATTGGGATATCTTTTGTTTCAAGTCAGTAATTGTATTGAACCGGTACATATACCGGTCAGTAATGCAAACAAGTTCTACTGCCTAAAAACTTGTTTGAAGCCCGACTGTTAAGTAAATGTTGGAATATGCACTCTCGATAGCTGCCGTACTAGTTTTTGTTTTCAAGAAATAAACCAGCTCTTCGGTGAATCTTAAACTGTAGGGTAGATGACATCATGCCTTTTGTGGCAAGAAGCTAGCAGCAGTTACATTGCTTTTAATAATTCTTCACACTCTGCTGCCCATTAAAACCCCAGAAGCATAATGGAGGAGAGCGGGAGCTGGGGTGTGTCCCACACCAGGGTCCCCACAGAGTCACGCCCGGGTCACGTGGCGTTGATTGCGGGGTTTTACGAAGATGTTAGCGCAGTCGCTAAAGGTTAGTAAAATGACTGACAGGAGAATTTTGTTTCCTTGGGTCGAATGAAATCTGTCCAGACTGGGTTAAATGCCTGTAACAGTTTTAAATTAAGACATGGAGGCAGATTCTTCAAACATATACTGAACATGCCCAATGGGTTTTCAGATTCCAACAAAAAAATCTTACTTCCTCCTTCTTGTTTGGCACCCCTTTTTATCCAATCAGCACTCTCTAAACTGCAATTGTAAACATAATCGTAAGTCTCAGTCAGCAAATTCTGAACAGCATTAAGATTCAAATAAGCAGATAACATAACTACATACATTCCACAATTTCTGATAAAAAAAAAAAAAAAAGTTATGGTAGTATAGTCAATGCAGAGGTGGAAAGTTCAGGTCCAGAAAATACAAACCCAGACCAAGGTTTTGTTTCAACCAACCAGTTGAGCATAAAGAGTCACATTTCACAGAGTACTCAACTGGTTGGTAGAAACAAAATCTTGGTCTGGATTTGCACTTTCTGAACCTGAACTTTCCACCTCTGAGTCAATGATTCAATGAATCATGGAAAACAACTGGTGACCTTTTGACTTCAGATAAATTGCATAGTTACTTTATATTTATTTAGCATCTTGACATACAATTGAGTAGACGGAGCAATGTTGAGGAGCAATGTTAGTTAGGGGCTCAACACTGAAATCACTCTACTAACCATGGGATCTGAACCAGCAACCTTCCGATTATAGGCAGTGTCCTAACCCAGTGACCCACAGACCAGGCTATCTTTCTTTCCCTGCACACTCTTGTCATTTCTGTTTTCCTCCAGGCTGGAAAGAGAACCCCGTAGAGTTTGACTCTGTGTTTAATGAAAGCCGGCACACGTGGTGCTGGGGAAGCCCTGACATCTTGCCCATGTTTGCAAAAGGTAAAGGCTTTTTAACAGATGTGGATTTTTTTTCTCTCGCTGTTCTTATTTATAACCCGTTGACGGCAGCGAGTGCATGATTGTTTCAGGTGCTAGTGGGGACCATGTCTACACGCACACATATTCTGCTGAGATGGAGGACTTTGCGTCCACAGATGCCTCAAAACTGGACACGTGGGTATTTGATGAAGTGAAGGTGCGTATGCTTGATAGTCCTTGTTTGCTATTGTGATTTTCATTCAAAATTCATTTGGAGCTGTCATAAAAAGAGCTTTTGTCTTCGCCCGATGCATATGAACCTCCTGAATCAGGATATGACACAAACACTTAACCCCCTGTGCCCAGTGAGTGAGGGTCTCCTGTAAACTACATCGATTCTTTTTGCTGTAGGCATTTTTCAGCTCTGCAAAAGCGAACGACACCTTGCTGTCTCAGTTACGGGAGGAACGTAATGTCTTCTTTTTGCATTTGCTTGGAATAGACACGAACGGTCATGCCCATCGGCCGATGTCCAGGTTAGTGGCGCGATGGTGTGCTTTAGTGTACGCTATCTGTGCTTTGCCTGTGACAACAGTTTGTTGCAGCGAGCCCCATTTAGACAGGAGGCTGTTGCATACTGACTCGCCTGTTGTGTTGTTTTTAAATAGAGAATATGCAGAAAATATCGAAATTGTCGACGCCGGCGTGGCAGAGATCGTTTCTGTGATGGAAGACTTCTTTGAAAATGATAAAGGCACATCTTATATTTTTACCTCTGACCATGGAATGACAAACTGGGGTGAGGTCATCTTTATGTACTTACCGTCATTTATTTTTAACTATTATTCACTCCTGAGCATTCAGGGACAGAATTCAATGCCCAGTGTCACTCTTGCCAGTGTAATCTTGAGCTGCTTTGATGTTTACTTTATTGCTTGTTTTCATTTTATGTTGCTATTCTTTTATTGACTCTGGTGTGCATGTATGACATGGTTATCCTCTGTTGTTTTTTTCAACCCCCCCAGTTAGGGATGGGCCAATCCGCATTTTTTCAGTTCTGATCCTATTTCGATATACAACCTCGGATACCGATTTCAATACAAGAGCTGTTTTTACTTTATTATTTGAATGTGAATAATATTATTATTAATATGTTTGAACTAGTAAATACGGATAAAAATGCATACCAAAAATCTTTACGTTAATAGAAACATACATAACGTTCTGTTCAACCTCGTTTGTACATCTTGTTTTAAGCGTTTTGAGGCATTTGCAGTTCAATATCTTCCTAGGTAGGATACGCAAGTGGCAAATGCATATAATGCTCCGCAATTTTTCTTCCACTGGGAGCAGCCTTACTTGCACTGCGTTGCGATCACTGCCCCTCAAGCTGCAGCAAGTGCGCAAATCAGCACAAGCCAGCCACCCCCAAACCATCCATTGCTTTTTTCATATAACTTGCTTTTCTTGTGTAATTGCATGCTCTTTGTTTAGTGGGATTTTCCACTAAACGCTACTCCCACCTCTCAAAACTTTGTTTTTACAAAGACTGCAAATCGCTGTGCTATTAGTTGTTGTTAAAAGCATAAAATACTTCCAGATTGTCACCATCTTATCTGATGTTCTTCCTGCTGTGAAGGGTATGCGTGTGACATCACAGCAGGGGGAAGTCACCACGCTCGCACCCACTGAACAGCAAAAGTACCAAAATAGAGAGGCAGGTTCAATGCCACAAAAACACATCTAAAATGGGACACAGCTGTCGTATGATTGATTGTACAAACAGATTTGACATGAAAAACACAATAAATGGTTTATGATTATCTTACCATAGTAAATGTATATAAAATAAATATGTTTTCTTAGTTACCCTGAATATGCTATCTTTGTTTGCAATATTAGGTTCTCATGGAGCTGGACACCCGTCTGAGACTCTCACCCCCTTGGTGGCCTGGGGGGCGGGGATTCGTACAGCTGAGAGGACAACCACTCAGCACTTTAATGACCACTACCTGCAAGGTAACTTCTTGTTATGAAATCACAGACCAGCAGGTGGCGCTATGGTTAAGGAACTTGCCTTTTTAGGCTTTACATTTATTTGGCAGACACTAGGGGTGTTGTTAGGCATATTTTAGGGGGGTTTAGCTTTTACTTTATATTTTTAAATTATTTTTTAATTTTTTTTTTGGTGGGAGTTTTAGCTTTTATTAATTAGCTTAAGTCATGAATAGCTTTTTATATTACACATTAATGTGCCATTGCCAGATTTGGTAGCTTGTTTCATAACATATATATATATATATATATATATATATATGCATGCAATAAATATGCAAAACAAATTGTTTAATTAGTATAAACCGTTTGCGTTGGAGAAAGGCTGAATGAATAGGCTTATAAAAGGTAATAAGGTTGATAATTTGAATAAGTATGAGTCCCCTAGTATCTGTTATCCAAAAATCTAACTCTGGGGTAATCTAGGTGCAAGCTTGGGTGGTAGTCATTTTTACGTTAGTCCGCCAATCCCGCTGCTTTTGTTGCCATGAATTCATGGCAGTGGAGTGTGATTAACAGCAGGTTAAACCAGCAAAACCCAACAGGTTTTGCAGGCCATTGCAAAACAGCCCACAAGAAGTCAGCAGATTTTGCAGATTACTCTCCATTAGTGTATAGCTGGATTGACAGGCCATTTTGGTGCAGGGAAAAAACAGGAGAGGTTATCAGTCTTGTTTAATGATTTTTAAAAGTGATTTGTCAGTTTGCCTTTATTAGAAATGTGTTTAGAACTATGCTAAAATTAACATGCAATTTGACTTTCTTTCAGAGTGGAGACTTGAATACTTAAGGAGGATAGATGTTAACCAGGTCAATCTAAGATTTTTCTTCCAAAATTTTTTGATTGCAATCACAGATTTTTTTAACATTGAATTTCCCCTTGCGGGGACTGAAAAAACAGTCCCCACAATGTCAATATAGCTGGATTTTATCACATTGTGGGTACCATATGTCACCACAATGTAATGTGTATATATAACCCACACACACACCCACACTCACTCAGTCACAGACATTATTATTATGTGCTCTACCTTACTTCAAGGAAGTGTTAAAAATAGATGTACAGTAAGATTTCCAAAGTTTATTTTATCTTACGATGGTATAAATTAGGGGTATTCAACCAGAGCTCTGTGGCGCCCCTTGGTGGCTTGTAGTCAAGTCAAGTCAAGTTTATTTGAACAGTACATTTTCATATATAAAGGTCATTCAAAGTGCATCACAGTAAAAGTATATGAATAAATATTGAAACTAAAAGAACATATAACACTTATATAACTGAGAAAGTGTACAGCAATTGCAGAACGTCCACAGAAGGCTGTTGTAAGATGATGGAATGATGGCATTATGATTTGCTTTGTGCTACAATATTCCCTTGAATATTGGATGTCGTTGCCATAAATGCCCAAACAGAATTATAATGTAATGCGCGAGGTTTTCATTTTGTGACACACATGTATTGGGTTATTCAATTTGTGCAGTATTGAAGTACTTCACCATACAATCTGAACTCCTATTTGTTCTGTCAGTGAAATGGATGTAAACTGCCCGGATATGCAGAATTTGTGCATTTGTGTAATATTTTTTATTGCACGATTAAATTAAAGCTAAAATGAATTTATCTTTGCAGTCAGAATATCAAACCACTGTCATTTATATACTTGCTATATTATTTGAGTAATTCATTGCTATAGTGATTTAAACTCACTACCCCTTTTGCCTCTTTGCTTTCAGGCAGACATTGCTCCGTTGATGTCTTCCCTAATTGGAGTGCCTATTCCTTTAAATTCTGTGGTAAGAAATTCATCAAGGAAGTGAATTATCGTCTAATAATCCTGAAAAATATAGCAATCAGTAGTTAAGATTTGATTGATAACAGAGATTCAAGCACTTAGTTAAAAATGCGCCTCTTTGTCTTTATAATGATTTCTTGGTTTTTGATGGCTAATTTTCAGGGTGTTTTGCCGTTGGGTTACTTGGATAACAGTGGACTTTTTAAAGCAGAGAGCATGTATGCAAATTCCATTCAGATTATGGAGCAGTTCAAGGTATGGGCAATACTGTAACCTCCATATGTGTTTGGTGTAAATGTTTTATGTGAAAATACAACACCCGTTGTGATCGCCGATTTACGTGCACATTGTTTCTATAGGTTAAGATGGCCCAGAAAAAGGAAACTACATTATCCATTCTTTTCACTCCATACCAGTAAGTTTTAAATGTAATTGTGCTGTGATCATTTTACTTGTGTTCTCCGAGATTTAGTTTTCTTTAATTTTCCTCAGTAATTTTGGCAGTTCCATTTCATAAATACAATATAAATAAATGGATTGTTTCTGATAGGGACCAATATGGAGGGGGGCACTTAAAAAAACATGACTGTTTTCCTCCAATGGTTGATAAAACGTTGGAAGTTCTCATCTCTATTTATACAGCTTTAATTTCTTTATACAGCCTTTCTTACTGTATTTGTATAGCATTTTCCCCCAAAATAGTTACTCCAAGACACAGCATTACGAACAGTATGAAAGATGGACATAATACTTCATAAAATTAATTGTCTTCAAAAGTCAGGTGAGGTGGTAGAGGACAGTGCAGAGGAAAGTCACTGGAGCAGATATGTGTGATGACACCAACAGCCTTCACTCAGGAAGCCAGTTATCTGTCCAGCTCTCCCGCGACGTGTGAACGTCAGGAGACAAGCAAGAAAATGCTGCATATGTTGGCAGTCCTCAGCTTTTTTGTTGATTTTCGTTTGTTTGTTTTTTCCCTTCTCACCCTCCTCTGCCAGGCGGTTGACTGAGTCCAAGCAGCTGGATTTTGTGCGAAATGTGAGGTCCCTGATCCAGGAAAGAAAATACGATGACGCTGTACGTATCCTGACGTCGTTTTTGCCAGTGTTGCGCAAGTTACTCAAAAAGTGTAATACGTTACTTTTGACTTATTACTCCCTTAAAAAGTAATAATTAAGCAGTAACACACGAGGAGTGCAGTTGTACGCAGTATATCACGGCTGCGATTACCTTCAGCACTCCGCTTGCGGCCTCGTGCCTACGGCCAAATCACAGTCCTGATATACTGGAGTACAACCACATGATTTCGAGTATGTTATTGGTTTTATAGTTCATCGAGTAGCATTTATAAGGTAACAGTAATAAGATACCATATTTTGTTTATTTAAAAAATTTATGGGCCAAAACAAAAAAAAATAGTTCCCATAATGTCAACAAAAGTCGGCTGGAACAGGAACAGGTTGAGCACTGCCAGAGCCCTACAAAATGACCTCCAGCAGGCCACTGGTGTGAATGTCTCTGATCAAACAGTCAGAAACAAACTTCATGAGGGTGGCTTGAAGGCCCGACTGAAAAAATCCCACGGCACACCACTAACCAAAAATGTTACAAAATGACACTCTGTAGCCTAGTAATGAGAAAATAGTCTCCCAGTTTATTTATACTCACTCACTCACTAACCTGAGCCTGTTCGGATGAACACAAAGCTGATATCCTGGCAGGAACTGAAGACAGACACACAAAGCTCTTTCTCAACAGCTCTCAGTCTCTCTCTGTTTTTAGTTTTTATATGATTCTGGCTTGAAAAGCTCAGATCACACAGATATGTCGTGGAAAATGGGAATAATGTTGAAATAGCTTTGTTTGTTTAGAACACATCATTATTACAGCACATACACTCGGCAATGGAATATTATTTGCAAATAATAATTTTCAAAAAAGTTTTTGAAAGCTTGGATAATTTCCCACGGCGCACCTTACAGTCTCTCACGGCACACTAGTGTGCCGCTGCACAGTGGTTGAAAATCACTGCTCTAGTGGGCCCTGTGCTCATTGGAGATCAATTGGCATTTTCCAAAGAATACCAGAATTGGCAGGTCCTCGGTTTCACAGATGAGAGCAGGTTTACCCTGAGCACATGTGACAGATGTGAAAGGGTCTGGAGAAGCTGTGGAGAACGTTATATTTTCTGTAACATTGTTCAGCATGACCAGTTTGGTGGTGGGTCAGTGATGGTCTGGGGAGGCATATCCATGGAGGGACACACAGACCTCTACAGGCTAGACAACGACACCTTGACTGCCATTAGGTATCGGGATGAAATGCTTGGACCCATTGTCAGACCCTACGCTGGTGCAGCGGGTCCTGGGTTCCTCCCAGTGCACAACAGTCTGGTGAGAGTATGCAGGCAGTTCCTGGAGGATGAAGGAATGGATACCATTGATTAGTCCCTACGCTCGCCTGACCTATATCCAGTAGAACACCTCTGGGACATTATGTTTCAGTCCATCCGACGCCACCAGGTTGCACCTCAGACTGTCCAGGAGCTCAGTGATGCCCTGGTTCAGATCTGGGAGGAGATCCCCCAGGACACCATCCGTCGTCTCATTAGGAGCAGCCCCGACATTGTCAGGCATGCCTACAAGCACGTGGGGGCCATACAAACTACTGATGAAGATTCTGAGTTGCTGCAATAAAATTTCAGCAAAATGGACTAGCCTGTCGCATTATTTTTTCACTTTGATTTTTGGGATCTTTGAATTCAGCCCCCTGTAGGTTGAAAATTTTCATTTCCATCTAACACATTATACAGTCCATATCAGTACAGTTATCCAGGGAGTTTTTCCCCATTGAGATCTGATGCATTTTCAAAGCTTTCCTTTATTGTTTTTGAGTAGTGTACTTATTCTAATATCACCGGTGCCAGCAGTGAAACAACTAGCCAGCTTATTAGCGGAATAACTTTGCATAGTAAATTAAAACCATGCCGCAGGTCTAATAAATAAAATATTGTGGTGCTCCAGTGGTGAGGAGATCATGAGGTGGCCAGCAAAGTTCAGTTAATAGCAGGTTCTTGTATTGCGCGATTCGTAAAAGGACAGGCATAAAACCAGCAAGAATAAAGAATAAACTCACATACACACACATAGACAGGGAGCCTTTAAAGAGATAAAACTGGATACTGGCAGTAGAGACAGTGCAACGAGTCATATTCTGAAAACTTTTTTTTGGTTCGGCAGCTTATAAAAACTTTAAAATCCGAAACAGATAAAAAATAAATCCAATAAAATGGAATACGTATGAACCTTTACTTTCTTGTGACTTCGGCCTACGTTCATTTTTGAAACTGGTGGAAATGCAGGCAGGTTCTCAAAAAGCACCAAGCGAGAACCAGCCTAGCACCGGTTCCGTGTTGGTGGAAATGAGGCAGATGTAACCATACGATCACACTGCGGGTGGCGAAATCGTCAAAACAACCGGAAGACTTTCATTCTGTATGGGAGGGCGCATCATCAGGTGTCAATGGGCGGCACGATTGTCAAAATGAAGATGAAACCTAGTCAACTTTATGGTAATGAGCCATGATGCGGTTCAGCAGCAACCAATCGGAATGTAGAGCTGTTCCGCTACAGAGAGTTCCATAGAACACAAGCGTGTAAACTTTTGTTCCAACCAAACAGTCCCCAATCACCGTCGGGTTATAAGCATAAGTATCAACATATTATTTTTTTGTAGAAAAAATTAGGAAATCGCATACTATTTTTGGCGCCATAGACTGCAAAATAATAGGAATTGTCGGTAACTTTAACGTTACTTATTTACATATCACCAGCTGCCCACAGTATTTCCAAGATGTGGTCTTGTACCGCAGATCGCTCTGTCCAAGGAGATGATCTCCCAAGCTCTGGAGGGGCTAGCGTACTACCACACCTACGACCGGGTCTTCCTGGGCAGCAGTGTGGTGTTTGGCTTTGTGGGCTGGACCTCCTACGTCGTCCTGGTCATCCTGAAGACCCACGCCGCCTTGCGAAGGCCTCGCCCCCTGAGCGCCCCGGTGAGAAAGACTGTGCGCTGGATGCCGTGCGCTTGGTGTCTTCTCCTGTTGTGTTCCTTTGACAGAAGAACATCTCTCTGCAATATGTGTAGTTTTATCAGTCTTTGCAGTAGTGCTTTTGACTCTGCACTGTTTGCTTTGAAGGTGTCTTGCAGTGTGGTTTGGAAGACATTTGCCTGTCTAGCCCTCGGGATTTCCATGTTCCTGCTCATCCAAGCCAGTCCTTGGACTTACTACATCTATTGCCTGCTTCCAGTGTACGTCTGGTACTCAGTGTTCAAAGAGTGAGTAGGAAAAATATACTACAGCTATTGCTATTACTCACCCCTGATGCCCCTGTAGTAGCAGCAGCAGTCGTAGTAATAAGGGTCTATTGATTTGTGAAATGTCAGCATTATTTTAAATTATTTTACTTTTCATTATATTTTTGTGGTCTTTTGAAGCAAACCCACAGTCCTTGTCACTGTCAGGAGTTTTTGAAAAATGTTTGAGTCCTGTTTCATCTCCTCCCCCTTTGATGTCTGTGAAGAAACAACGTCCACTTTGGCAGTTTGAATGGGTTTGAAGAGCTGCAGTATTGACCTGAAATAAATACACAAACAATAAATAAATAAAAGATGATTATAAAGAAAAAAACAGCCAGATAGATGAAAAACGACTAGATGCTTAGAAGTGCCTGAAGAGTAGCCATTGATGATGATGATGATGATAATGATGATGGCACAGGAAAAGAAGGAAACCACTTTTATGTGAGGCAGTGGTTTGATGGGGAGATTGTTATTATTATATTAATGCACCCCCTCTGTCTTCAGATGGGGTCAGACGCTGTATGGGGGGGGGTCCTTTGTTACCATCATCTATCCATCTTCCAACTGTTTTGTCATCATCTGAGTTGTGGGCAGGCTTGGAGCCTAGCCTGGGCAGCACAGGGCACAAGACAGGGGTACAGCCTGGACGGCATGCCAGGTTGTACCCACTGAGCCACCATGCAGCCTGTTGTCTTTCTTCTTGTTACATGAACATACAGGTTGTATTTTGTTCAGCAGTTTTCCAACACACCTGTTCTGAAGTCCTATTTCCTGGACACTTAAATGTCAAAACATGCATTTGCACTCTGTGCCTAACACACGTTACAGCCGGGCAAAATATTTTATCACAATATTTTTTTCACATCGGTCAATATCAGCAATTTTCATTATATAATTTGTTATTTCTTTACTTCAATGATCAGTGCATTTTTGTTTAAAATTACCTCAGAATTAGCAATGTTCCCTGTTGACAGTTTATCAAAGTTTCTTTTTTTATCATTTAGATTTCATACGTCGATATATTTGTTTATTTTGGCCAGCCCTCACACACATCTGTGACTGGTGTGCTCTGCTCCAGGTTCAGGACGCTCGCTGACCTGATGAGCTCTGATCCAGGTTCAGGACACTCGCTGACCTGATGAGCTCTGATCCAGGTTCAGGACGCTCGCTGACCTGATGAGCTCTGATCCAGGTTCAGGACACTCGCTGACCTGATGAGCTCTGATCCAGGTTCAGGACGCTCGCTGACCTGATGAGCTCTGATCCAGGTTCAGGACGCTCGCTGACCTGATGAGCTCTGAT